CGGAAGGCCCTGCGCGCCGAGATCACCTGCAGGGAGAAGTAGGCTGGGGCGAAGGGGGTGGGAGTCAGGTCTGGCCCCTCGGCACCGGCAGCCTCCGGGGACCCCGCCTCCCAGCGGCCTCGCACCCTTCTCTTCCACTTCCGCCTCCACACTGAACTCAGGGCTCCTCTCGAAAGCCCTCGGCAGGGGGCCTCCACCCCCAGTCTTCTCTGGGCTTGCCCCGTGTTCCTGACCTCCAAGGGAAGGGCAGGATGCAGCCTGGGGGCCCTGTGAGTGTAGGGGAGGGGATGCCAATCCCTGGGACACCTGCCGTGGGCGGGCCCTTTGCACTTGCCTGCTAAATCATTTGACTTGCAAAATGCAGGCAAATGCCCAGCTACCCGTCCCCCCTCTAGACATGGACCCAGCCTTTCGGTCCCCACACACGGAGTGCCACCACGGCCTAGGGCAGAGCCAGCTGCTCCTTCCAGGTGCAGGGCAGCAGCACCCTGTGGCTAACAGCCCCGCGCCCACCTGCAGGGCCTCCTGACGCTGCCTCAGGCCAGAGTCACTCCAGCCTGGGCTCCTGGGCCTCCAACTGTAGCAGTGGCCTCCCGTCTGTGTCTGTGCAGATACTCTGGACCCGGGCCTACATCTGACAGGCACACTCCCTACCTCCGGTGGTGGCAGCTGGGACCTTCTAGTCCAACGCCAGACCCCAAGAGTTCTGCCACCCTTCATTCCAGTAGGGGCGAGTGGGCTTGCCCTCGGGGGTCTGAGTGTGGAGGGGACCCCAGGCCAGGCCCTTACCACACACAGCCCCAGTGCTGGGTGTCCCCAACTATCTTACTGCACCCTTGGCGCCAGGCCCTATGCAGACATATCATCCCAAGGGCACTGTGGTACCAGGGTGGCCACGCGAGCAGAGTAGCATCTGGAGGAAGCCCTGCAGCTACATGAACAGGGGCTGAGGCCAAGCTTGCTGTGTGGCTGGAAATGGAGGCTGCGAGGACCCTTCAGGCCCTGCCCCGGCTGTGCCTCGTCCCAGCCCATCCACGGCGGTGTCCTCAGCAGAGGGGGTATCTGGCCCAGGAATGTGTCCTCTAGGTGCAATGCGATTGAAACTTTGTGGCCCATGCGCAGAAGTCGGTATTTTGTGGAAGAGCCACACTCAAGAGGCCAAAGAGCCGTGTGGCTCGCGAGCCGAGCCGCGGTTTGCCGACCACTGCTCTAGGCTAAGTCTGAGACCGGCACCTTTTGGGGCCCAAGGGGGCAAGTCCTAACCCTGTCCAGCTCCATGTGATCCCAGCACGGAGAGGGTGCCTTTGAAGGCGGGGCCAGGGGCTGGGCTCTCGTGCTGGGACACCCAGAGAGGGGCCGGCTGGAGCGGGGCTGCACCAGGCCATGGTTGTCCCACATCGGTACCAGCACCAGAGCACCCATTCACCCTGGCGCGCGCACACACTCAGGTCCCACAGCCCAGCCCAGCCCATCTGCTCCCTGGAAGCCTCATTCCTACTCCGGGTTCTTATGCTGGTTGAGGGGTCACCACCTGAGTCATGCCTCAGGGCCTTTTCCCCTTTCGCTGCCCCTGTCAGCCTTGGTCCCTGCCGGGTTTCACCGTTCATCCTACAGACATCCCTCAGGCGGTCCCTCCCCATCTGGGAAACTACAAGGCCCTCAGCCGTGGGGCACCCCAGCCTCCTGCAGTCGGTCAGTGGGTCAGGAGAGCTTGGACACCAGACTCCAGGCTGGGGGCCCCACCTCTGCCCCTCATCTGGGCCTGGGCCCTCCAGTACCTCCCCAGGACCTGCAGGGCAGAAGGCAGGCTGCAGGGTCTGAGGCCCACCCACCTCCCACACAGGAGCCAGCTCACCTTGCAGTAGAACTCCCAGGAGGGTCACAGTGGCCAGGAGAGCCACCTCGTCCTTCATGGTGATGCTGGTGGCTCAGTCGGGCCAGCTGGTGTGTCAGAGGGCTCGCAGCAGAGTTTATCAGTCCCTGCCTGGCGGCTGCTCAGAGGCTGGCCCAGGAGAGGAAGAGTGGCTGGCTCTCCCGCCCCTTTGCAATGGAGGGCAAAGGGCAGGGGCGTGGCTATGGCCAGAGAGGGGCAGGGAGCCTGGTCAAACTGAACAGGCGGAAACCAGGGTCACATGAGCCTGGGCAGGAGAGAGCAGCTGGCTGGTATAGCCTGGCCACTTCCAGTTTTTCTAGTCCCTGTGCCAAGCCCTGTGCTGACGGAACTTAAGCTGTCCCCCAGGTGTGCTCCCGCCTAGGTGTCATCCGTGTCATCCCCGTGTTCCCCAGGCCCTGCACACTCAGCAGGTTCTACTTGGCCCTCGAGCCTCCCCTGGTCCTAGGTCTGGCTTCAGGAAACCAGAGCTACCACTGAGCACTCGGTTCTTTATGCTGGTTGAGGGTCATCATCTGAGCACCCAGCCCACACTGGGCGCAGCCAAGCACTCTCTCTCCCAGGAAGCCTGATGCCGCCAGCTTCGGCTGCCCGGCTGGCCTGGCAGGGTGGCTCAGCCCACTCAGGATGGCCGAACGCATCCTCTCAGGGCCTCTGACCCCACGCAACCGCCTGCTGTCCTGCCTGCCCGGCAGCCCTCCTTCCGAAGACCCTGACCATCTCCACACTTGGTCCTGTGGTCTGGGCAGAGCTGCCCCCACTCCTCGGAGACCTGTGGGAAGAACACATGAGCCAAAACTGACTGTAGAGCCAAGATGGTGAGACGCAGCTCTAGAAGCTTCCTTAGAACTGAGAGAGTTCAGAGTGAGGAGGGAGATTGCTGAAGGCCATTGATGGCCACACACCAGCCTGAGGAGGATGGAGCCCACTCAGGGCCACCATGACCGAGAGGGGGCTCGTCCTGGCACCCGGAGGCCACCTGGCCTGGACTGCCCCCCTGGCTGTAAGAGCCACTTCGCCTTTAGGCTCACATCGCTGGGAAGGGGGTTTTGGTCAGTGGTGGCAGCATCCAGACTGGCACACAAGCACAGGCCGGAGCCGTGAGGCCACAAGCAAGCACGGGCCAGGCCGTGGGAGGGGCAGGGCGGGGCAGCTGGGTCTCTGCAGCACCTGCTGCTGCAGCAGGTCCTGGCCACCAGGACGACCTGGCACCCCTCGGCCCCCACACCTCGAACCACCTGGCCTCCTTTCTTGCTGCCCAAGCCCAGGTTCCAGCCTGAGGGCTGTGGTGCCTGCTGGGTTTCCAAGAAACCTTTTACCCTCAGTACCTGGCCAACACCAACCAGCCATTCTGCCCCGCCCCCCCAGCCACACCCCAACTAGCTGGGAGCGCCACAAGCACCTCAAGGGCAGGGGTGGGTCTCCAAGTCTGTGCCCACTGTGGGCCAGGTCTGACCCACAGGAGCCCAGTGACAGGGCATGGCTGATAGATGCTTAGAAACAAATGAGAGCACCCGGGAAGGGATGCCAGGTGCACCCTCCAGCCCTCTAGCTGCCCACTCAGCCCTCTTCCTCCCTGAAACCTGCCCCTGACGGGTAGGACACATGCTGCGGAAGGCCTGTGCCCC